GCACAATTCTATTACGGACAATACCTTGGAGAATTGGGTAACCAAATCCGGTATGTAAATAGAGTTTGGAGCTCATGGACTGGTGGTGTTACGGTCAGACACTGCAAGCACACGATAACCAAGTTGGTAGTCGGCACAGATACAAAAGTAACCTTCCTAAGCCGGGCCGTTACGAGTAGGGTGTTGAGGTGGGGTGGTTCTAGAAGCCATCTTTATTTCACGCAAACTTTCGCTGTGAACTAATCCTTCGGGGAATGGGTGTGTGCAATGATGGGATGAGTGCAGACAAATTTGGCGCGGACTATTTTCCAACTCAGACTGTTCTTTATCCCATTTTCCATTGAAAATGGGATTGTATCTTTTGCACAAATACAGCGCACAACGAGGTAACTCAAGCCATTAACTGGACGTTTTGAACTGAAAGTGATCGATAACTTCTCTCTGTTTCTCTCGCAAACGCAACCCACAACTTGTACTGTCTCACCTGATCAACGAATTTCATGGATTTAAACTCCAGAAACAGTTAGCAGTTGTCGCGCGCGCGCGCGCGCACGCACGCACACACACACGCACGCACGCACGCAGAACACCAAACCTGACGTCTCCTCTCACGTGGTCGATTGCTTCAACAAAAGAACTTTCCGTTTGTCCTATCAATGGTTGCCAGAAAACCTGATTACAAAACCTCTTTCTGCAAGCGGAGACCCACGTCATTGTCAGCTTGCACGATTGAACCTCATCATCATGATCATCATCATCATTGCCATCATATCCAGGCCGTGTGCGCGATTGTAAATTCACTCCCCCCCATACACACACACACACACACACGCATACACCCACACGGAGACCAAGGTAACCATCAACACGCGGCTTTTAATGGCTAACGAAACAGTCATACGCTTGACCCACCATGATCAATCTGGCTCATGGTCTCATTCACTCGCAGCACTGATAGTGAAATTTACGAATGACAATTTCTGACTTTGACAATCGGTGAGGTTTTACACAATTGTACTGTGTGTGTGTGTGTGTGTGTGTGTGAACGATATTCACCGTGTATGCACAAACAGAAAGTCAGAGCCAGTGAAAGAGAGAGAGAGAATAAGTTTGGGCTACTTGTTCAAAGGTCGAAAAGCCTGTCACACCAACAAGCGGATTCGTAAAAACCGTAAAAATTCTGAGGCCATCGGAGTTAGATCTGACAAACTGTGCCCTTAATTGGAGCCCCATCTCAGCCACCGTATAAAGACAATACAAAGTAGATTGTCGCACTGGTTGCATAAGCATCAGATGGTCTGGCTCCGTACACTAAACAGTGATGCTGCTGCGTATCTGTATGATTTATCAACCTTCTTCACTTTCATCTTCTCAGCACTTCCACAATTTCCACTTCATGCTAGTAATGTCTTCATTCATTCGTGGACCAATGGACTCACTGGAAGATGCAAAACAACCCCGTCAAAAAATATACAAACAGTAACTGTTTAGATAACTAACATCTTGATTCTAAGTCATAGCTGGGCAACACGAAAACAGTATGCTCGTTTTCGCGAAACAAACAATCAGTGGAATTCTTGTTCTATAGTCGAATGCTTCGGCCTGGAGTCTCGCATGATTTCCGTTTCCTGGTTACTATGCAAAATATTCAAACACCCCAAACAAACCTGTCGTTAAAATACAAACGGACAAACACATTGCAATGCCGACTAATCTGTGAAAATTTTTTTGATCATGTGAAGTGCATTGGGAGCGAGGGAGAAGAAAATGAACCGAGGGAGTCAGGCATACACAACGGGACGAGCAATCTGAACGAACTGGATATGCCAAGATTCATCGTCCAATTAGCTCTCTGATAAGAATCTTCTAACCAGTCGGTTAAATGACAATTTGATGAGAATCTCCAACACACTGCCTGATCTCTGCCGGCAGTTCTGTACACACACACACACACACACACACACACACACACACACAGAGAGAGAGAGAGAGAGTTTCTCTGTGATTTTTGACCCACAGACAATCACCTTCACTGTACATTAATAAATAAATAAAAACAGCGTATTATGTGACTGTTAAGTTCGCCCTACCTAGTCCGAATTCATTGTCTCATGGAAGTTCGTAGAGCTGATCGGTCTATACAGGTTAATGACGTTTGTTCTGCAAATGATCAGTCCTTGTGCTAACTGCGGGGACAATGTTACAAACAGACTTTTTTGTGGTTGGCTGGTCCACGTTTCTTTCGACTGTTAAATGACTTCTAACTTATGTCTCCTGTTCCACAGGGAAGGCTTCTTGAACTGGTGGTGGAAATTCACGGCTGAAGTCCTACTGTTATGCAATTGCCTCCTAAAATCCCTTTCATTCAATTTTCACAATGGAGCTCTTCTCAAACGGGACAGTTGACCCTCACCCTATCCCACCCCCTCCTGAGCTTTCATTACATATAAATGGATTATGTTGAAACTGTGAAAAGTTCAGTAGCCTCGTGGGATTCGAACCCAGGCATGGACGCCGCCTACACTTTTGTAAGGCGCACGCTCTACCACCATAGGCGGCCTGCACGCGTGGGTCAGAATCCCACAGAGGTTACTGAACTTTTCACAGTTTCTAGATAACCATTCAATCTGCCAAGCAACAATTTGAACAATTAGATGAATGAAGCAATGCACAAATCAGATTATCACTAATCAGTAATCTGTGAGATGACTGGTGAACTCACCTTTTGGTCGTTCATATGGCAACGTCACACACAGTCTTTCGGTGTTTGGATCGTAGAAATAATCGGCCGAGGAGTTGCCGACTACAATGATACTGTATCGGGCAAGTGAATTGGTTGGCATGGCCATAAAATCCTCAAAACATCTGCAAAAAAGGGGAACAGTAGAAAATGAGTTAAATGATAATGTACAAACTCAGTGTCTCTTTCTTTTACTCGAATGATTTGTGCGTGTGTGTGTGTATTTAATCAAAGAAACAAAATCTACTCGATTCAAATTAGAATAAAAAGCATTGCGACCTGTGTTGCCCACAGAGACTAAATGCCCGAATACTAGCACACAATCCAGAAGAAGGGTTTCGATTTTTCAGATCAGACCGTAGTCAAGTTGAGGCTTCCAACCGAGTCATAACTCGAGAGGCTAGTACTGAAATGCGCAAGGCGCGATGCCCAAAAGAAGCTCATAAAGATGGGTTATGCTATATCGTACTGCCCGGTGGCGGAGTGGGTAGCATGCTTGCCTGTCTCCCTATGAGGTCCCGGGTTCGAAACCCAGTTGGGCGAGTGCATTCGCACCCCATTGATGAGACCCACCCAGATATAACACAGCTATACAGTGCTTCCTAGCCTTTCAGTTCACGCTTCGTTTGCTACATACATGACGAATTTCTCCTTCATTAATCTAATGTAATAATTTCGGTGTCACAACGGGCAAAGCCTTTACCGCGTAGCACCAGTTTGACAGTGTAACCAGAGTAACTGTTTAGAGGATTGTTTTCACCATTCTGGCTGATTCACGTGTACTGATTATATTATTAAAATATGAAACGGGGCTATTCGTTATTCACCAAATCTATCTCCCGTTTCCATCCGGGAAGTGGGAATCAGTTTCGACCCCTGATTTCCGAATGACATGTTTTCTGGGATATTTCTTGTATCCGGCAGGTAGGTAGGTAGGTAGATTCATTCATTTCCCTAACTGATCCCATTCTGGACCGCCGATACTAAAATGAATATCAACCCCAGAGCAAACGAGCTCTACCACATTGAGCGTTAAACGTATAGGACAGTCTAAATGGTTACTCCATGATCAATCAAATGGGCGGGAACGTTCCAGGTGAAATCGTCAGAATAATTGATAAATCAATCCTTGATAAAATTATCGACACAAATCCGGCGGTGGAGATTCTAATTACCTCTGGATTACTTCTTGTTGTTTGTCCGAAGTCCCGTACACCGGAGTCAGACGTAAAAACGAACCTTCTGGAGGTTGCGTTTGACACCAATAGGAAAGAGTCCACCAGGCAGGGGTTTTCTTTGAGTACAAATTAGTCCAGCCTTGTTCATCTTTGAAGAACTGTGAATCAGAAAGTTAAAAAAATGGGCAACGTAACTTTTGCTAATATTTAACTTGAATTGATTAATCAATGTGATTTTAAAAGGGAATGTTTAAATATACGCTTTAGCTGCAGATAGACCACAAAAATTTTGCAATCATCCTATTTTTCGATTTTTCGTTATTTTCTAAGATATTTTGATCAATATTATCAATGCAGAATCGTTTACTCCAACACACTGTTTTTCGCTACTTCCATTTCAATGGATTCCAGATTGTCTGCCTCGCCTCCTCAACATAGATACTGATCACTCAACCGATCTCATTGAATTCAATACACTGGCCATACTCTATCACCGAAAGTTAATCAAAAACCTTTGGACGAAACGACTAATGCACCGAATCGATCGACTGAACACGTGCAACCAAATCTGTCATTGATCTATCAAAACACGAAACACTCGTGACGCAAATACTGTGAATTTCATTCATTCGTCATTTCACATCAATCTTCCACCAAGAGAGCAAAACCAAAAGCAAATAAAAGAGATTCTCCTGGTCGTCTTATTTGTTTTTGATTGTTCCGCAAGAGATATCATTAATGGCAGTGAAAAGAGTTTCCCTCATTGTTTCGAACAGTTCTTGTTCTATATGCCTGTTGATGGAGGTAGTGTTGGTGCAGCGGTCCGAGGTTCGAGCCCCGCCACCGCCGCCGCCGCCACCACCACCACCACCACCACCAACCGACTTTGGTGGTGGGCAGCTTTGCTGTCCTCCGGTTCAATACCACACCTAACCTATCGGGGCCTTATGTGATTCACCGGGGTTTACATTGCCGGTTTCCATCAATGAACCGCAGGTCTTCGTGACTATGGGGTTCACCCGGTCTACTGTTGATTACACTTAGGTGTGTAATAAATTTTTTTTATTCGATTTATCCCTAAATTAATCATGTTGAATGTGGAGTGCTGCCTCCAACGAATAAAAATGCATGAACAAATTCCTTCATGATGAAGCATTTTTCTTGGCAAATATATTTTCCTAGGTATGATTACTAGAGTATTGATCGCTCCCTGGCAAAGTAAAGAACAAGTTATATCTGTTTTCCTGCTGTCTACGCAATCACAGGCGTACTGTAGTTTGTGATATTTTGTCGTTTTTCCTA